ACACACAAATATTCCCCCAAAGGAATTTTAGGAGATTTAGTTGAGCTTTAAAGACAGAGCTTGTATAACTGTACAGTCCTAGTCATGGTATTATTTATACTTTAAAAACTTGTGAATGAATTCTGTTACTTGAAACATATATATGTGTGTGTGTGTGTGTGCGCGCAGGTTCTACATTTTTCTTCTCAGTGTAGACTGCAGTGATGAGGGTAAAGGAAAAGGGAATGAAAGAAAAAAAAGTTTTATATATACATATATACACATATGTAATATATGTATGCATGGGTGTTACATACCACTCAACATGTTATTGTTCTAAAAGGTGCTAATTGCTTTGCCGCAGAACCCTAGAGAAAGTCTGGAAAATTTTAATTCAATTCATTATTATCTTCTCTTTGTGTCTGGCACTGTTGCTTTCCACCCGCAGAGTGTGTGAAAGTTTTCAGCTTCTGAATTGTTTGTTTTTCGCCATTTAACCAGTTGAACTCTTATGAACCCAGAGCAAATTGACTCTGGGATAATTTCCTGTCAGTACCTAATGCTGATACTTTTTCCAGAGAAAGCATGTGATTAATTGTATTGACAGGATTTTGATGGTTTTCAGTTTCCCTACTATGCAAGTTTCCATAGCTTTATCCTTATAAAAATTCCTGTTATTTCTGTTTATTATCTTGTATTATATGCAACCTATTACACCATATAAGACAATTCTTATTCATCTTAAATTCCCCACTGATTATTCTGGAGAATTATTACTACTATATTGATCAATATTGAGTCCTGCTACGAAGTACATTCCTTTTTCCCCCTTCCACATGTTTATTTTCTCTTCTTTAATTTCACCAAAACTCTAGACAACTCCCACTATAGCTAATGAAAAATTCTTGCTTTATTTAAAATTGTATTTGTTATTACTTTTATATCAGTTGCTATGATTTCTTATGAATGTCTAGTGGAAGAAACAATGTAAAAAATTTAATATCTCTGCAACTCATAAAATTTTTAAATCTAATTTTTTATTTGACACAAAATTCAAAAACAACCCAAACTTTCCTAATGCAACTTCTTGGAAACATTTCCAAATTCATTCCAAATATTCTTTTGGAGCTATGGGCCCCATTTCATTCCACATATTTGTTAATTTTTCTTTTTTCCCCCAAGTTTTGGGAAAGTTAGAGTTCAAACAAGTACCATATGATCACTGAAACACATACTCATCAGGCTGGATAGGACCTTCATGGTTATTTTAATGTATCTACTCATTGCATTTAAAAATCTCCTTTACATACAACCTCTCCAAGAGCTAATCTGGTTTATTCTTGAATTCCTCCTAAGAAAAGAAAATTACATTTTATATTTGAGTAACTATTCAGAAATTTTCTCCTCCCAGGACTTTTCTCCCCTTGGTCTTAGTTCTGGAGTTAACTTAGAGTTATAAAATAACTGCAGAGTTATTTTGATCAAGATGGGTAGTAACTCAATCACATGTAAGCCTCTCAGTATTTTATGTCAGCAATTACTGTATAAGTCCCCAAAGTCTTCTTTTCTCCCCTCACAGGTCTATCCTTCCCCATTTTCTTGGCTGTTGCTTGCATTAGATGACTGACTGCCTACTGCTCTCAGACATGCTCCGGTTTGTAGCCTTCCTGGAGAGTAGTTGGACACAGGCTCCAGGTATGTTCAAATAGAACTATCATCCTTCCTCGCTCTAAAATGATAAACTTTCATAAATATATATCAAGATTGCCTATTAGTAATTTTGGACATCATACTTCATTGTTGATTCACATCAGGCTTACTGCTGACTTAAACTGTAAGTCCTGTTCTCATCATTTTGTGCTGAGCCCTGTATCTTTTACTACCCAGAATGCAAACTGTTTTTTGGACTCAGTGCAGGACTTTAAATTTATCTCCTTTAAAACTTATTTTATTTTATTCATTGTGACTTGGAAAGATGTTTTTAGTTTTTATTGGATCCTAAATCTTTCATAATCATTTATGACTTTAGAATCATTTAAAGCTTTCTGCAAATTTAGCGTACCTGCCTTCCATATTTTTATATGAATTATTGATAAAATTATTTGGTATGAGAGAATCAAGACAGCCTCTTTCTAGGTTGCCACCGGCCCAAGGATAAATACCCATTGCATGTATTTCTTCAAAAATTACAAATGCAACTAACTAAATAATCCTCTCACCCCCCTCCTTTTCATATTATCATCTAATCTAGTTAGAGAGACTTTACAAAGTGCAGACATGACATGTTCTGTAGTCACTCATTTTCTTGCTCTGCCAGGGTAGGAAAAATAGGTTAATCTCATGTGACCCAATAATGAACCCATGTTAACTCCTAGTAGAAAATGTTAACTGCCTGTGTCCTCACAATATTTTCCTATTCTGGAGTCCTGTTGGTACTGATGTATAGTTCACTGTCTTTTGGTATATGCTATGTTTATCTCCTCCTCTGGTTTGGAACTAAGGCATTTGATGGGTCTGTAATCCTCTAGCTCCTCTACTAGTCTTCCCATTTCCTCACTGGCACACCTCACGTTTGCATTTCTCTTAGCCACAGGAGATGAGATTCCTTCTGACAGAACTGTATGTTCTTGTTGAGAGAATAAGATATTCTATTAAAATTTATTCATATTTAGGTTTCAATTCCCTCTTGCTAGTGTTTGTAGTGCAATTTTTATTCTGGAGAAAATTCTCAACAAAAAAGATGGAGACCAAATAAGAAGTTTGGGCTTTCACTGTCTCTCCCTTATCTATCAACCCTTAATTGTGGGCTTCTGAAGGAGGCCTATAGCTCTTCAAAAATTTTCTGTTAGGAGAATATTTTCAAATCATATATCTGATAAAAGACACATTCAGAACATAAAAGAACACCGAAAAAGCAATAATAAGAGAACAAACAACCCAATAAAAATGGGCAAAACGTCTGAATAGTCACTTCACCAAAGAAATATATGGATGGCAAAAAAGTATATGAAATGATGCTCAACATCATTAGTCATAAGGGAAATACAAATTAAAACGACATTATATATCACTGCACATTTATTAGAAATGCTTAAAGAAAAAAACTGGTCATACCAAGTGTGGGCAAGGATGTAGAGAAATTTGAATTCTAGTACATTCTTGTGGAAATTCCAAGCGGTTCAGCCACTTGGGAAAATAGTTTGACAATTTCTTATGAAGTTAAATGTGTACTTAGCATACAAACCTAGCATTCTCATTACCTAAGTACTTACTTTAGAGACATGAAAACTTACATCCACACAAATACCTGTACAGGATGTTTATAGTGTTTTTTAAAATTGTCACTAAATGAAAACAACCTAAATGTCTCTCAACTGTGGTCTAACCACACAGTGGAATACTACACAGCAATAAAAAAAGAACAAATTATTGATACATGTAAATACATGGATGAATCTCAGATGTATTGTGCTAGTGAAAGAAACCAGGCTCAAAAGGCTGACTACTATGTAATTCCATGTAGATGAAATTCTTTCAAAGGCAAAGTCATAAGGAGAGAACATTTGACCCAGTGGTCCTACTTCTTGGAATATATCCTAAGAAACCCAAGACATCAATCAGAAAGAACATATGCACTCCTATGATCATAGAAGTGCAATTTATAATAGCTAAGATCTGGAAACAGCCCAAGTGCCCATCAGTAGATGAGTAGATAAAAAGCTATGGTATATTTACACCATGGAATACTATGCAGCTGTAAAATGGAAAGATCTCTTACCCTTTGAGACAGCATGGAGGGACCTGGAGAGTATTATGCTAAGCAAAATAAACCAGTCAGAGAAAGACAAGTATCACATGATCTCACTCATGTGTAGAATTTAATGGACAAAATAAACTGATGAACAAAATAGATCCAGAGACATAGAAGCATCAGACAGACTGATGGATCTCAGAGGGAAGGTGGGAGTAGGAGTGGGTGGGGAGAAATTCACTAAAGAATTTATGTGCATAACCCAGTGACACAGACAAGAGTGTGGTGAAGGCCTTGGGGGGGGGGG